TATGCATCAGGTATATAGTTTTCTGATAAATCTTCACACAGATGTTAAAATAAATCTTAAATATCAAATTAAACTTAAATGTGCTAAATTTAAATACTTTAAGTTTTGGTACTATTGATAGTGAGATTCAAATTAAAATCACTACTTTAAATTAATTACCAACATGTTTTAAATTGGAATTATAAGGCTGATCTTTTACTCTAATGGGCAGAATTATCTTCTATGTTACAGATACGTAAATTATATACTAAAACATCATAAACATTAATACTAAGGATTTGATTCTATAAAACATTTCTCTATTAATTAGTTTCTTTTATTTCTTCAGTTTTTTTCCTTGCATTGAAAGATACTTGCTCAGTAAGAATGCAGTTATATCTTCCCCAAATAATTTTGGTTTCAAACTTTCTTGCAAATTCTGAGGTTATATTCTCTGCTGGCAAAATTTATTTTAATGATTCAGGAGGTTTCTGGCCAGGACACTGATTATATTCTTTCCTTGTAACTCCTTTTTGTGAGGCCAAGTTTGTTTTTTTAAACCTCTTTGTTACTGTTCAATAACCTGCTTCTGTTTTGTTGCTATACAAACTGATTTTATTCAGTTGATCTATTTACTTCTTTCATTCTATTCTGTATACTTTTCATGTTCTTCCCTTATGTTAGGGCTATGCCTTTTGTAGATACTTAAAGCATTTCTCTCATGGCTTTGAATCTGATCAAAATACTTAGGTCATGCCAATGACATTTATCTTCTCTTTATTACCCTAGTGCCTGGTACTGTATTTATATCTAGTTTCTCCAAAAATACTGGATTTTGAAAAGTGAGAAGAAATAAAGAATTGGGTAGCCAACCTAATTATTTAATATTTAAAATTTTATTCCATGGTAAATGAAGACAGCTATGAAGGTAGACTGAAGTTAAGGCCTTGAATATTAGATTGGGGCATTTGGGTTTGCCATCAGTAGTAAGAATAGTTGTTTTAAGGGACACACTATTTCTAATGTATTTAAAACTATCATGATGTGTTGGAGAAGACATTGTATAGCCATTAGTGAGCCCACATTCCAGTCGTAGATTTGCCAGTGTCTAGCTTGGTAACTTGGACAACTCATATAACCTTTATCTGATAATTTAAATTTTTTATAAACACATCATTTGTGTAAAGCCAAGACACAGTTGTCATGAAAATGTGATCAGTTATATTTCTGAAGTGAACATTTGGCAAGGACACGTATTAAACTTCAAGGTTGCTGTCTCTGAAATGTTAAGACATAAATTAGGAAAAATCAGAAAGTCTCACTTTTGGTTTTGAAGTTCTTAAGCAAAAATTTCAGTGTTTTTTGTTTTTAATAAACTTTGTTTTATTTAATTTAGCCTTTTCATGTGAAAGTATGTATTAGAAATACACACAGTTTTTGACACCCTTACTGTAAAAACTTTTTTTTTAAACTTTATTTTATTTTATTTTTTTTTAAACTTTATTTTTTTATTTTTATTTTTTTTTATCCTCACCCGAGGACATTTTTCCATTCTTTGTTCAGGTAGAGTGGGAGGGAGAGAGAGGAACAGAGAGAGAGAGAGAAACATCGACGTGAAAGAAACACATCAAGTGGCTGCCACCCGCACAACCGACCAGGGCCGGGGACAAACTGCAACCGAGGTACGTGCCCTTAGCGGGAACCGAACCCGGGTCTCTCAGGACCGCAGGCCGACGCTCCAACCGCTGAGCCAAACCGGCCAGGGCAAAACTTTTTTTTTTTTTTTAAATCCTCTTCAGATTTTTTAAAAAATTTTTTTATTGATTTTGTTTGTTTTTTTAGAGAGGAAGGGAGAGAGAGATAGAAACATTGGTGTGAGAGAGAGAGAGACATCAATTGGCTGCCTCCTGCACGCCTCCCACCGGGGATCGAGCCCACAACCCAGGCATGTACCTTGACTGGGAATCGAACTGGGACCTCTCAGTCAGTGGGACAATGCTCAGTCCACTGAGCCACACCACCCAGGCAAAACTTATTTTTCTAATTACATCATTTAAACAAGTTATTAGTTGGTAGAGCGGGATTTCTTAGTTGTAGTTTTATCTGCCTAGGCCAAAGTGATTTTTTAAACATCAGACTTTTTTTGAGTAGGTATTCACCAAGTATAATTCAGAAGAATAGAAGGATAGTAATAAAAAGTCTTCTTCCATTCCCTATCTCTCAGTCACCCATTTTCCCTCCCCAGTTTCTAAATGTATTCTTTTAGATATCTTCTGTCTTCACAAATGACTATATATATTCTTATGTTTTTCTCCTTTTATAGAAATAATATACTCTATACACTGGTCTGGACCTTGCCGTTAATGATGGAAACAGTAATTAACAGGGAAAGATCACAAAGGGAAAAGGAATCTCTGGACAGAGATACCTTTCCCAAATGGAGATTTCTATTCCAGAGCCAATGAAAGATTTTAAGGTTAATAATTGTCATTTATAAAATATTGAATGGTTGTAAAAGAATATTTTTAACATGCATAAGCTCTGAAGGATAATACTAAAACATAAATCCAGTTTAAGAAATGGAACATTTTTCATTAGTTTTGAAACCCCATGTGCCTTTCCTATCTCCCTTTAGAGTAACACTATCTTAAATTTTATCATGCTTCTTGCTTCTTCATAGTTTTACCATATTAGTATGTAACTCCAAACTATGTTGTTTCATTTTATGTTATTGAACTTTTCAAAGGGGAAATATTTTTCAGTAATTTGCTTTTTATTCATTCAGTATATTAAGACATCTATATTAATTTGTAAGCAGTAGTTCATTGCTTTTCATTGCTGTGTAGTATTCTATTGTAGTAAGAAATCATGACTGATTCACTTTTTCCCTAGTTTGAGAATTATTAGCATTCCATTTTATCTTTACTTTTGGCATAATACCTATGCCTATTTTGTGTTTTAAGTGTTTGCTTACTAACACAGCCTACCTTCAAATTATACTATACACTTCATACCATATCTGATGTCATTCTTTTCTGTTTTTCTATATGTAATCTTTACATATTTTAAAGATTTTCCTTTAATCACATTTTTCAGCAGTTTGTGCTGTGGTGCTATTTTTGCGTTTTTTTAGCTTGGTGTTTGCTGAGTGTTTTGTTAGGTTTGTAGTTTACTGTGTTAGGAAAAAATATCAGCCATTATTTCTTCAAAAACTGTTTTCATCCTCTTCTGGGCTCCAATTTACATGTACCTTAGATGACTTGATATTATTCTGCAGGCCTTTGAGATTGTTTCTTTTAACCTTCTTTTCTGTCTGTTTCAGAAAGTATGCTATGTCTTTAAGTTCACTGATTTTATTTTCCTATGGTATCTAATCTTCTCAAATGCAACCAAATAATTAAAAAAAAATTAAGCTTCTTTTTTATAGCAGTTTTAGGTTCATAGCAAAATTGAAGGAAAGGAATATATTTCCTATATACCCCTTCCTCATACACATGCACAGCCCCCTACCAGAGTGGTACATTTGTTACAATTAATGAATTTACATTGATATAATCACCCAAAGTCCATAGTTGACATTACGGTTCACTGTTGGTGTTGTACATTCTATGGGTATGGACAAATGTATATTAATATACTGTATCCATCATTATGGTATAATACAGAGTATTTTCACTGCCCTTTAATCCTCTGTGCTCTGCCTGTTCTTCCCCCAATCTCTGGCAACCAAAGATCTTTTTATTATCTCTGTATTTTGCTTATTCCAGAATGTCATATATTTGGAACCATATAATATGTAGCCTTTTCAGATGGTGTTCTTTCATGTAGGAATATTCATTTAAAGTTCCTCCATGTTTTTCTTGGCTTCATGTAACTCATTTCTTTGTTGTACTGAGTAACATTCCGTTGTCTGGATGTACCAGACTTTTGTTTTTTAATTTTTATTTATTGATTTGAGAGAGAGAGGAAGAGAAAAACAGAAACATTAATTTGTTCCACTTATTTATGCATTCATCGGTTGCTTTCTTGTGTGTGAACTGCCTGGGGATCAAACCCATAACCTTGGGGTAGGGGGACAACACTAACCAGTTGTGCTACTTGGCCAGAGCCTGGATGTACCAGATTTTTTTTTTTTTAATTATCCTCACCCAAGGACTTTTTTGTATTTATCTTCAGATAGAACGGGAAGGGGGGGGGGTTGGAAGAGAGAGAGAGAGAGAGAAACATCGATGTGAGAGGCATACATCGACTGGTTGCCACCCACATGACCCCAACTGAGGCCATGGACAAACTGCCACCAAGGCACGTGCCCTTAGCAGGAACTGAACACTGGTCTCTGGTCCATGGGCCGACGCTCTAACCACTGAGCGAAACTGAGGGCAGTGTACCAGATTTTTATCCATTCACCTACTGTAGGACATTTTGATTGCTTCCAGATTTTGGCAATTATGAATAAAGCTACTGTGAACATCAATGTGTAGGTTTTTGTGTGGACATAAATTTTCAACTCTTCTGTTTATAATTAATCTCCTTTTGGTGCCACCCGTCTCTCATGCAGGCATCTTTCTCACTCCATTTGAACTCCAGCTCTCTGGGACAGTCTGCCTCTATTGATTCATGGATAGCCTGCTCTGTCTGGGCCACTGCAGTTCTTCACCCACTCCAGTGCTGATGGTTACCTAACTGGGCGGTAGAACTGAATTGTTCAGGAAGGGAAAGGCAGAATAGGACAGATTAAGTCGTTATTTACTATTGAATGGTCTTTGCAACATGATTTACCTTTTGATAATGAAAATACTCCTGTACTCATTCTGAATTAGAAAGATGGAATTGGAAATGTGTTGTTTACATTTTTACTTACAGGTATAAAAGATAAGAAAAATTACCACTTGAAGACTGAGTGGTATCAATCTACCAGAAGAAATAATGCATAGAGCTGTTGATTTTTAAGGGTGATTGACAGTTGTCTTGAATATAACTTGATTATCCTCTTCCTAGAGTCATGTTCTTCTTTCCAACACTCTTATCTTTGCCTCTCCTTACGATTTTTCTGCATCTTTCATTTTTGGTACTGCACTCCATCAGCTTCTGGAGTTTTGTTACAGTGTCTCTGAGAACTCAGTGCTGTCTTCCCCTCTTCTCATTTTCTTTAAAATTTAGAAAATAAAAATATTAGAGATTTGACTCTCACTTCCCTCATATTTTTCTTTTCCTAGTAACTATTTTCTTTTTACCTTTGGGGAATAGGAGGCAGTGTTACAATTAATTTGAACAGGGTATTGATACCTGGATCATAAGTTTGTTTGTATGATGTTTTCCACCAGATGGAAAAAGGCTTTTGTTAGCCCTTTGTTAACATCACTCAAACCTTTTAGTTGTAGCACTTAATAGAAATATAGCCTCTGCCTTGGTAAATTATGAGCTACTTCAGGGCTGTGAGAAAAAAGTTTCTCATTCTTTCATTCTTGTGCATGGCACCTAATGGGACTAGCTCAGCACTCAGCAAATGTTTAATAAATGACTTACTTGGAAAAATAACCTATATATGAGGCTTGATTGTTTGACCTTTTGACATCTGTGTCTTCAGAGTCATTATTGTTAACTTTCCTATTAATATGTAGAGCAAGTAAGTTTAAAAAAAAAAAAAATCTGTTGAACTTGTTTCTGACCTAAAATGTCCTGATTGGTTACTGCTTTTCTCTTTTTCTGACAGACAGTTTGTCACAGTTTATTGGTTATCCCGGCCCGAAGCCAGAGCTTTGACGTCCTGCAAAGTGCCATCAGTAAGCATTTGGTAAATATACTTAAACTTTTTTTCTGTTACACAAAAAAGCATATAGATTTATTGGTTTAGATTAGGTTTGTTGTAGCCTAAGAGAGAATGAGAATCCAGAATCCTGAGCTTAATAACCACTCACAGCATGATGCTATGGCGAGAACTGAGAAATCCTGGTGTTTTTCCTGGCTGTTGCTAATTAACGTTTGAGCTTGGGAAAATGCCCTCTTATGCCAGGACCTGACTTTCTACATGTGTGCAGTGAAAGACCTTAAAATTATGCCTCAGGTCCTTCTGACTTGTAATGCTTTAATTAACATGTGCCTGGTGTTAGTGTATTGGGAATTCACCATCCAGACTGGGGTCTAATTTCCACCCAGAAGATTTGGGGTCTAAAGTATAGGGACGTCATCTAACTGGCTGAAGTCCTGGTCACTGGAGGCATTGAGCTCTCAGCCATGAGATGATTTGTCTTCTGGCCAGTTAGTGTCTCTTGTTCCCATTGGTATTAAATTTACATTAGGTATGCCTGGGGTTTGTTTTTAATTTCCTCCAACACTTACACTTTGACCTTTGGCTTTTTATTATTCTCATGTATTATATTGCAAAGGAGAGATCCAAAATTTTATCTTCCAGGGACTTTCCTTTGTATAATTTTTAGGCACATCCACACCTCTGTTCTTCCTTTAAAATGTTATCTCCCTTGAATTGGAAGAATACTGCTTTGAATTCCCATTACTTTTTTTCTCCCTGCTATTCAGCTATCAGACTTCTAATCCTATTCCTTTTGTCTCCAAAGATCTCCACCTTTTTTTTTTCCCACCTCCAGTCCAGAAACATATGCCCTCTTTTGACTACATTCATTATCCTTGTAAAAGCTCAACATGCCAGTTAGTCTAGGTCAGCGGTTCTCAACCTGTGGGTTATGACCCCTTTAGGGGTTGAACGACCCTTTCACAGGAGTCGCCTAAGATCATCGGTAAACATATTTCCGATGGTGTTAGGAACTGAGACACCACTCCTCTATCCATCTCAATGGGGGTCTGCCCAGATGCAGATACACCCACAGACAACATGAGGAACTGTATTAAAGGGTTGTGGCATTAGGAAGGTTGAGAACCACTGGTCTGGGCCATTATTTTTATAGACAGCCAGATGGGAAGGTTAAGACCTCAGAGTCTAGATTTTTTTATGACTATTCAACATTAGTTTCTAGGAGATTTAAGCCATGTATACAGGGTGGGGCAAAAATAGGTTCACAGTTGTTCATATGGAAAATAATATAATAATTAATACAAGAATAAACTTTTTTCGTGTACTCTCAACTGTAAATCTACTTTTGCCTCACCCTGCACATACATTTACAAGTTAGAATTTGTACAACAGAATCTGGATTTCATGATGTCCCTTATCTGGGTGTTGGGCAGTGAAACAATCAAGTGTTTATAGTTTCTTGACTCCAGTACTTAGTTGTGTCTGAATGACTAGCTAAATCCAAAGGACAGGGGAAGGCTAATTGTACAATGAGTCTGTTTTGCATACTTAATTACCTGGGATGGGGGTGGTGCCACATATTAGAGTTTTTCGTGTAAGTGTGATTGTTGGTATGAAGATTTTCTTTGGATGCATAGAATAATCCTTTTAAATAATGATATTTCTAACCATTAATAGAAATTGTAATATCTAGAGAAAGTTTTAGAAGACTGTCATGGGAAGCAGTGGACTGGGTTAATAGTATTTCTTGACTTTACATGTTTTCAAAGCCATTACATGTAGACATTAAATTCTCAAAGGAAAATGGGACCTCAAGGTGTGGCAGGTGACATGTATGATGTATAAACTGGTTTTCAGTAGGTGTTGTAAGGTTAATCCTCCAGTTAATGGGATTTGGTTTTCTCCTGGAGAGGGGAAGGGGACTGTTGTGTAGATGTCATTAATCTCATTTTTGTCCGCCTAGGTTGGGTTTACTGTAATTCCTGACAGCACAGCTGGCTGTATTCTGGGTGTCATCTGTAGGCTCCTGGATCATACATGTGTACTTAATGAGACTCTGCTGCCATTTCTGGCTTCTTGTTGCTACAGTCTTCTGTATTTTCTGCTCACTTTAGAAAAAGGAGAAGCAGAACATCTAAGAAAGAGGTAATCATTTTTGTATTTTTCACCTTTAATTTTTTTCCTACCTGTTCTATTCCCTCCCCATCAATCAATCAATCAATCAATCAATTAAAAAAAATTAAGAGCGAAAGAGAATTAGAGTTTAGAAATATCCTAAATTCTCTTTCAGGGTTTGTATAAATGTAGCTAACCTTTTCTTTCTTTTTTTCTTTTTCTTTTTTATTGAATTTATAGGGGGCAAATTGGTTAATAAAATTATAGGTTTCAGAGGTACAATTCTATATTACATCATCTGTATGTTGTATTGTGTATTCCCCACCCGAACTCCAGTCTCCTTTCATCACCAGAACTTTTTGTTTTTTCATGAATCCCCTTTGTGCTGTGAAAATTTTTCATTTTTATTTGTTTGTTTAAGCAACAAATTTGAAGTTAGATGGCATTTTAAAGTTTTTTGAGAGCTTTCCTTATCAACATTACTATAGGTCTAGTAAGAAAAGACATTCTACCTTTAGAAAGATAAGTTTATTAATATAAGCCTTTGTATTTTGTTTTAGGCTTCATTAGAACTATAGCCAGAGTGGACTTAAGGAAATTGTTCTAAGATGCTAATGTTTTAATTCAGTGCTTTTATTCCTATGTGAAATTCAGACTAAAGCTTCTAGGATAGTCTGGAATATTTCACTTTAATTTTTAAAAAGTGTTCTTGCCCTGGCCGGTTTGGCTCAGCAGTTAGAGTGTTGGACTGCGGACCAGAGAGTACCGGGTTCGATTCCCGCTAAGGTAGTAGTTCTCAACCTGTGGGTCGTGACCCTTTTGGGGGTCGAACGACCCTTTCACAGGGGTTGCCTAAGACCATTGGAAAACACATACTACTGATGGTCTTAGGAGCCGAGACATCGCTCCTCTATCGGTCTCCAGGCAGGTCGGCCCACACGCAGATACGCCCACAGACAACATGAGGAACTGTATTAAAGGGTCCTAGCATTAGGAAAGTTGAGAACCACTGTGCTAAGGGCACGTACCTTGGTTACAGTTCGTCCCTGGCCCCAGTTGGGGTTGTGTGGGTAGCAACCAGTCGATGTGTCGCTCTCACATTGATGTTTCTCTCTCTCTTTCTCACTCTCTCCCTTCTGCTCTATCTGAAGATAAATGCAAAAAAAATCCTCAGGTGAAGATAAAAAAAAAATGTTCTCATGCTTATGTTCTTATTGGCATGCCTATTAAAATTCATTGTGGGTGGTTTTTTGTTTTTGTGTTTGTTTTTTTCATCCTCACCCAAGGACATTTTTTCATTTTTTGTTCAGATAGAGTGGGAGGGGGAGAGAGAGAGCGATAAACAGCGACGTGAAAGGGACACATCGAGTGGCTGCCACCCACACAACCCATCCAGGGCCGGGGACAAACTGCAACCGAGGTACATGCCCTTAGCGGGGAATGAACCCCGGTCTCTCTGGACTGCAGGCCGACGCCCTAACTGCTGAGCCAAACTGGCCAAGGCCATTGCAGGTGGTTTTTAAAACATCTATAACAGATGAGCAAGTAGAAGAAAATTATTCTCTTCACCTGTTGTTAACATTTCGATGTTTGCCTTTGTAGTCTGTTTTGAACTTTTACATGTCATAAAAATACATCATACATGATTATGTGTAAAACCTCCATATAGTTGAAAGAGTAAGCTTAAATTGAACATCCATTTAACCAGCCTTCAGGTTCAGAAATAGAACATCGTCAGCACACACGCTTTCTATGTAATCTCCACAGTTACATTTCTCTTCTGCAACCCCAGAGATCACTTTTGGGGTAATCACTACCTGGCCTTTTTATTTACAAATTTTATATGCATTTATTTGTAAACAAGAACATTCATATTTTAAGAATTATATAAGGATATTTTTGTGATTTGATTCTTATTGTTTGTGAGTCTTTCATGTTGATTCAGAAATGTGTTTCATTCATTTTTGCTTCTCTATACCAGGGGTCAGCAAATTTCTTTCTGTAAAGAGTCAGATAGTAAATATTCTAGGTTTTCTGGGCTATAAAAATCTCTTGTCAGAACTTCTCAACCCTTTGGTAGTGTGAAATCAACAAGTAATATGTAAATTAATATGTGTGGGTGAAATACAGCCACACCTATTGGATTGGCTGTGGCCCAGTACCCGTGCTCTGTGGTATTCTGTTATATGAATGTACCATAACTTATTTTACTGTCAGTGGACATTTGAATTTTTTTCAGCTGAGTAAGTGTGTGTGTGTGTG